TAACTCTCTATCCCTCTCCCTTCCTCTCTGTAAAAAATCAATAAAATATTAAAAAAAAAAAAAAAAAAGAGAAGGGGTCCGCGAGGTGACTGGCGCACAGACTCAGATTGCTAGCAGCCCCCCCAAAATGTCTCATTTTCCCCATCAAGGCCCCCGAGAAGATGAGCCCTCTGCATCGCCGAGATGACACTTCCTGTGCGTTTCATTCCAGCTCACTCGTGTCCACCGATGGTGTTCTAACCCTGTGCCCTCTGTCCTCTCCTAGGAACACGGCTTCGTGCAGAAGTTCCAGCCCCGGCCGGGCTGGCTGGCCTTCCTGGGGGCGGCGGGCCAGGTCCTGCTGTGCGTCCTGAGGCAGCTCCCCTGACCGCAGGGACCCCGGGGGTTGGGAAACCTGGACTCTTGCGCGAGGGATTGCCCACACCCACTTCTCCTCCTTTTGCACAAACAACACTCGTGAGGCAACCGGACGGGTCCGGGGCCGTGGACACCTTTCCCCCCTTTCCGCAAATAAATCGAATGTACATCTCTGCGGCGTCCGCGTCTTGCCTGGGAGCCCAGCGAGGGGCTAAGAGGAAGGTGAGTCTTCGGCCCCAGGCGGGCAAGTTTCTGACGGGCGTGTCCCTGACCCCAAAGCCATTTTCCTTGTCACTGGCCCCCACTGCAGGTGGGTGAGTCAGCTGACCCTTCCCCGGGGCCCTGTCTTGGGTCCACCCCAGGCCCCTGGGTGCTGAGTTTTATCTGGGTCCCCTCCCCCAGCCGTCACTCCTAGGCCGGCCATTGGAGGTGATGGAGGCGGCAGCCGGACACTCGGGATACGAGGGGATCGTTAGAACAGAGGGAGGTACATGCCTTAGTGTCGGGCCTTTGGGAAACCTCCCATGAAAACATTTCACATACGTGCCCTGGCCGGTTTGGCTCAGTGGATAGAGCGTCGGCCTGCGGACTGAAGGGTCCCAGGTTCGATTCCCGCTCAGGGCACATGCCCGGGTTGTGGGCTCAATCCCCAGTAGGGGGCGTGCAGGAGGCAGCCGATCCATGATTCTCTCTCATCATGGATGTTTCTCTCTCCCTCTCCCTTCCTCTCTGAAATCAATAAAGAAATATATTTTTAAAATTTGTTTTCACAAATTAGAAAACTGTCTTTTGTTAGGCTGTGCTCCGATTTTTAAAAAAATATATTTTTATTGCTTTCAGAGAGGAAGGGAGAGGGAGAGAGAAACATCCATGATGAGAGAGAATCACGGACCGGCTGCCTCCTGCACGCCCCACACTGGGGATGCAGCCCCCAACCGGGGCCTGTGCCCTTGACCGGGAATCGAACCCTGACCTTCTGGTTCCTAGGTCGATGCTCAACCACCGAGCCATTCCAGCCGGGCGAGGTCAGCAAATTTGATTGCGACACGGGAGCACTGTACCTCGTTCTAGACCAGCGGTTCTCAACCCTCTGGCCCTTTAATCCAGCTCCTCATGCTGTGGGGACCCCCAACCATAACATTATTTTCATTGCTACTTCATCACTGTCATGTTGCTGCTGTTATGAATCGTCATGTAAATATCTGATATGCAGGATGTATTTTCATTGTTACAAATTGAACATCATTAAAGCATAGTGATTAATCACAAAAACAATATGTCATTATAGATGTGTTTTCCGATGGTCTTAGGTGACCCCTGTGAAAGGGTCGTTCGACCGCCAAAGGGGTCGCGACCCACAGGTTGAGAACCGCTGGTCTAGACCTTCCCACTCCTCACATTACACGATCTCTACCCATTGGGGTTTGCATTGCATTTTCCTCTGGAGGAAACAGGCTTAAACACAGAAAGTCTCTGGTCTGCCCTGGCTGGTGTGGCTCAGTGGATAGAGCGTCGGCCTGCGGACTCAAGGGTCCCAGGTTCGATTCCCGCTCAGGGCACATGCCCGGGTTGCGGGCTCGATCCCCAGTGTGGGGCGTGCAGGAGGCAGCCGATCCATGATTCTCTCTCATCATGGATGTTTCTCTCTCCCTCTCCCTTCCTCTCTGAAATCAATAAAGAAAAAAAAAAAAGTCTGTGGTCCCAGGTCATGGGGCTGGTGGGCGGGTCACATGGACCCCCAGGCCCACGCTGGTCCTCAGGGCCCGAGCCTCCTCCCACGGCCTCGCTTCCTCCTGGTCAGCTGGTACCGCCTGACCCTCTGCTGCCCGCCCCCCTCCACCCCTGGCAGGAGTGGGAGCTGCCAGTCAAGGTCAGCTGGGTGAGGCTGGTCTCCCACCGACAGGGCGGGTCTTCAGCCCGTGAGGATCCCCTGTCTTCCCTGTGGCATCGTCTAACTTAAGACCAGTCGGTTGCCGCTGTTTGGGATCTGGAAACTTCTACCACGGTGAGAGCTGCTGACAGGGAAGGACTGCTTTGTATCATCCTGTATGGAAATACAACCCTTTATTATTATTTTTATAAATCTATTTTTATTGCCCTGGCTGGTTTGGCTCAGTGGATAGAGAGTCAGCCTGCAGACTGAAGGGTCCCGGGTTCGATTCCAGTCAAGGGCACAGGCCAGGGTTTCGGGCTCGATCCCCAGTGGGGGCGTGCAGGAGGAAGCAGATCAATGATTCCCTCTCATCATTGATGTTTCTATCTCTCTCCCTCTCCCTTCTTCTCTAAAATCAATAATATATATATATATATATTTTAAATCTATTTTTATTGATGTCAGAGAGGGAGAGAGAAACATCCATGATGAGAATCACGGATCGGCTGCCTCCAGCATGCCCCTCACTGGGGATGGAACCCACAACCCGGGCCTGTACCCTGACCGGGAATCGAACCCGGGACCACCTGGTTCACAGGTCGACGCTCACCACTGAGCCACACTGGCCCGGCACACAGACCTTTTCTCCATAAGCGGCAGCAGCCCGGGTGGCTCTTTCTGCCGGAAGATGCGATCAGGCGCCCAGCCTGAGGTTGGTGCCACTAAGTCAGGGCACACGCCCGGGTTGGGGGCTCCATCCCCAGTGGGGGGCGTGCAGGAGGCAGCCCGTCCAGGGTGGGCGGGTTTTCTCTGGTTCATCTGCTTCGTGACCAAAGGCAAAGATATTCCAGAAAGCTGACGAGCCCAGGGCTGCGATGAGGAGCAAACCCATGACCGACGTTCCCCAAAACTGTTCTCAAGTTGAAGGTCGACGACCGTGCCGTTTGGGCAACGCAGGAGCCTCCATAGAGGAAGAGCGGATGACAGACCCTTGCAACACCATCCGTGTAGGCAGCTCATTCCCACCGGCCTTGCTTCCCATTTCGCTGAGGACTTGCACATCGCACATCCTCCCCGCCGCGTCTGTCTGCCTATCTCAGCGGTTCTCAGCCTGTGGGTCGCGACCCCTTTGGGGGTCGAACGCCCCTTTCACAGGGGTCGCCTAAGACCATCGGAAAACACATCTATAATGATGACAGATCGTTGTGATTAATCACTATGCTTTAATGGTGTTCAATGTGTAACCATGAAATCGGGGGTCACCACAACAGGAGGAACTGTATGAAAGGGTCGCGTCATTAGGAAGGTTGAGAACCACTGGCCTATCTGGTCTTCCCTTCCCCTGCCCCACACACACCCTGGTCTGTCATCGGTACCAGAACATTCTTCCCTTCGGTGACCAGCTGCTCTTAGGCCAACCCCTAGTATTTGTGTATCAGACCTTGTCCCCCGTGGTCCCTTGTGTCCCTCCCTCTCCGGCATCCGCGGTTCCCTCCCTGCCCATCAGCCCCCCTAGCGCGCAGGCTCGCCGTCCTGGCTCCCACGTCAGTCAGCGAGGTTTGGCAGGGGTGTGGCCGGTAGCCGACTCGAATGGCTGGGAGACCGGTTTGGAGCCTGCTGTGGCCCGTGGGTGGTAAAGACTTCTTTTTTTTTTTTTTTTTAATATATTTTATTGATTTTTTACAGAGAGGAAGGGAGAGGGATGGAGAGTTAGAAACATCGATGAGAGAGAAACATCGATCAGCTGCCTCCTGCACGCCCCCTACTGGGGATGTGCCCGCCACCCAGGTACATGCCCTTGACCGGAATCGAACCCGGGACCCTTCAGTCCGCAGGCCGACGCTCTATCCACTGAGCCAAACCGGTGAGGGCTGGTAAAGACTTCTTGACTCTCACTCGATCGACTCACATTTCTGTATCGATCCCTCTGGAGGTGTGTCTGTAAAGCCGCGGGTTTACACGGACACTTTGTTGTTGTTAACTCTTCACCCCGGGGATGTTTTTTCATTGATTTTTAGAAAGAGTGGAAGGGAGGGGGAGGGACAGAGAGAAACACCGATGTGAGAGAGACACGTCGATGGGTTGCCTCGCATACGAGCCCCGACCAGAGCCCGGGATGGAGCCTGCAACCAAGTACGTGCCCTTGATGGGAATCGAACCCGGGACCTTCAGTCTGCAGGGTGATGCTCTAACCACTGAGCAACACTGGCCAGGGCTACGCTGATACTTTTTAATTCCAGCACACCACCACAGGGCTCACTCCAAACTTCCTCTTTCCTTATTTGTCACTGTTTTTTCCCCAAAAGGGAGCAACCTGACTCTCATGAGTACGTGCCCTTGATGGGAATCGAACCCGGGACCCTTCAGTCTGCAGGCCGATGCTCTAACCACAGAGCTACACTGGCTAGGGCTACGCTGATACTTTTTAATTCCCGTACACCACCACAGGGCTCACTCCAAACTTCCTCTTTCCTTATTTGTCACTGTTTTTTTTTTTCCAAAAGGGAGAAACCTGACTCTCATTAGCCACAATATATGTACTTACTTTTCAATTCTAGAATATAGATAAAATAGTCTGTCAACTGCTAATTTACAACCCTCTGAAAAACAAAGGTACGAACTAGAGTGTAATGCAGGGTGTCCCCAAAAAGGGTATACACACTTTAACAGCTGATGACTCCATTTTCACTCCTTTTCAGGTTTGGCTGATTTGAAATAACGGGTGAAGCCAGACAGCTTTGAACACAGAAAATCTAGCCACTAGACTTTTTTATAGGGATACAGAAAAGATAAAGTTTACAGCCCGGCCTGCATGGCCCAGGGGTTGAGCGTCGACCTATGAACCAGGAGGTCACGGTTCGATTCCCCATAAAGGGCACAGGCCCGGGTTGCGGGCTCGGTCTCCAGTGGGGAGGGTGCAGGAGGCAGCCGGTCCGTGATTCTCTCTCATCATTGATGATTCTCTATCTCCCTCTCCTTCCTCCCTGAAATCAACAACAACAAAATTATATATATATTAAAGTTTACGGTACAAAACAGGCAACAGTTGACAAATTGAAGGCCCACAAACACCAATGAAATGATTCTTGATGTTTGCGATTCCATTGCTTTGTATTAAGAGCGGTGCCTGGACCAGAACGGTCATCAATTTGAAAACAGGCACTGACAAATTACTCATTTCTGAAGATTCTTTGAAATTTCAAAAATGAACTATATGTTAATAAATGCTGACTTTGCCCGGCCGGTGTGGCTCAGTGGTTGAGCGGCCCGGGTTGCGGGCTCGGTCTCCAGTGGGGAGGGTGCAGGAGGCAGCCGGTCCGTGATTCTCTCTCATTATCCCTCTCCCTTC